ATCCGTATGCCAACTGCACCCTTTATAGAATCTGTTCCTTAGTTTGAGTATGTGTGTGAACAAATAGTTTTAGACAAGTATCTAACGTCCTAGCTTTGTCGAGTATGTTCGGGCAAAGAAGTCAGAAAAGATAAATTCCAGGGTGTAAGCATCTCTATGGTGAATGGATATCGGTGAAGGAGTAGATGACAAGTTCACTTTTAACCAACAATGGCCACATTCCACAGAAACTTGAAGCACAGGCAAAAGGGACTTCTCAAAAAAGTGCAGCACTTACCGGCCTCCCAAACTTTGATAGTTCTGCACCTTTAGCTCTCTGACCAGGATAACCTTCAGAAGAATACTCATCATAGTCAAATTAACGAACTGGTAACTTACATGGGAAAAAAAACGTAATATCCAACTAGAATGGAAAACGTTGAAGTACAATATCAGGAATAGACAAAAGCATTCATCCACAAATAGTGTCGGTATGTCACTAGTAGATATATATAAACATGCAAAAATATGGCATCCATCTAACAAACAAACAAACAGAGCAAAAACACAGGCATTCCCTTCCTTTAAACTAATAATGTGGCCACTGCTGGGTAGACTCCGATACCCCCTTGATCACTATTTTAACAAGAATACTTTTTTCTACATTAACATACTTACGGATATATGAAGTAATAGTCCTCCCCATGGTGCTATACGCTGTTTTCTTGCTTAAGGATAATACTTATCATTGAAGGGAAATAAAGAAATGATAGACCACATAAAACTGGTTAACCACCCAAGATTGCAAAAATCCCCGAATCCCTTTCCCCAACTTGGACTTAGTTAACAAAGCAGTTACTCATAACCCCCCAAAACATGGCACATATTTATAAAAGACGACAAATGCGCTTCTGAATAATCAGATCACTAATTATTTTATAAGGTTTTGTGATGCTGAGCTTTGCAAAATGTGCGAGATAATTACACTCTTGAGAAATTTATCGAAATATTCCTAGCAATTTGGTAATCATATGGTTTCTTACCAGCAAATAGAACAAGCCCATCTTCAGAAACTCTGGCAAGTTCAGGAAGGGTCTTGTTAAGGTACTTTGGCGATAAGTAGTCTAGTGCATCTGACACAATAACAAGGGAAAATGATTTTTCCTTGTAGGGTAGATTAAACTTAATATCAGCTACACGCACAATGCCCTTGCGCACAAGATTCTTGCAGTTATCATTAGAATCCTCAAGATCATATGGTTCTACACCCCAAGCTTCAATATCCTCTTCCTTCAACAAATTTGAGACCACTGCACATGTATCAGGGCCTACATGTAAAACTTTGCGCATACTCTCACCGTACACTTTCCTCAGAAGAGGTATTGCTCGGAGTACTTCTGAGGTGCATGAAGTGTCCCCTGCAATTGGAGAGTTTATTAAGATCTTAAGAATCAAAATATGAGAATTGTCAAAAGAGTTGTCAAGAATTGACGATTTAAATAAATATTACAATACCAAACAGTCAAATAGATTACAAAACATGACAGCCCACCGGCTATCAATGTTACCAATTCACAGAACCACAATTTTGCATAATATTTAATCATTCCAAAAAATAGCACAACTGTGACTTGTCTGAAGGGGTTTGGAATGGTCATCTCTCCAAAATTGCATAGTTTCATCCAGAATCATGCCTCGCTGGGTCATGGTCATCACACCCTTTCCTTAAGCATTGATAATTCCTTTAGAAATGTTGTCCACTGAGGCACTAACAAACTTCTGCGACGTGTGGAGGGAAAAAGTTAAAATATAGAGTAAAACTAAAAAGGAAGATCAACTGGTTTCTTTTCTTAGGGGCAAAGTTCAAGGGCCAAAACCCTTAACCTTCCACAAACTGAAATTGCCTACCACAAGTATAAAGCCTAAGGGACATAAAAAAACAAAATAAAGAAAAACAAATTTTCACAGGTTAACGGGCGAGGAAGACAGGTAGAGAATATATCAGGTTGATAGTGATCAACTAGCCATTAAGGTTGTGGTGGAGCAGTTTAGATGATTCATGTAGAGAATATATTGTGTCTTTTTAATTGTTAGGAATCCAGGGTGCTGACAGAGAGCAATTGCATACAATGGAGTTCTAGAGAGTAGGGAAGGGATATGGGGAAAACCCACCACATGAGATTCTAAAGGCATCTAAATTTTGACATAAGCCAACCAGGAAACCGGTCATGGAAAGTGTAATGGAAAATCAGGGACACATGGGTGAGATTTGTAATGATTTACAGCAAATGGAATAGCGGACAGCATGGAAGCCAAAGCTAAAGCATTCTTCATTTGTATCATGGCTCTTGTGTCATAAAAATCTGGTGCTTTATGTCTTTGTTAGAATTTGTGAAACATGTTTTTTGGGTGAGTAGCGTTTCCCTGCAGATGCAAGCCTATGTGTTAGAAGAATATATGATATCACTATTCCAATTAGATCTCGTTCGAACATGCCCACAGTAAGATAACAAACTTCTGAAAGCAGTGACTAGGAGTTACCAATTCAATAAAAAAAGGACATTGACCTGGAATGGGGCCTCAAGACTGAAAAATAATGTGTTCTATTCATCAGAAAAATGTGTGGCCACTATTTTTTCTAATAAGTAATGTGTAGCTACTCTCTCAAGGTGATGAATAACTGCATTGCAGACTTATAAATAAATGAAAAACTAAAAATTTAATTTCCCACTTGTGCTATTTCTTCGACAATTAAAACTGAGTACAATGAAAAAGTACATCTAGAAACAAAATTCAACAAAAAAGAGATACATATTACCCATATACATACCTCCATCCCTACTTAGTGCCTCTCGATCGCTGTTAGACCCTGTCATGATAAGATCATCACATCAGTCAATGCCCCAAAAAATACACACCCAAAACACACAATTTTCTAAAAAACAAACACCTTTCTTTACATAAGTTTTAGAACCCACAAACATTATCCAAAACACACAATTTCCTTAAAGAAAATTTTTTTTTTATTTTTAACATAAGTTGAAGAACCAACGCTTAAAACAACATCAATAGATAGCACAGGGAACAGGATAAACCCAGCAACACAAGTGTTGTTCTATAGAATTAATGATTTCCATGCCCATTTAAGGAAACCTGGATATTTCCTTTCCCTTTTAACTGTGAATCAAAAAGTGCTTGCGTTCCTTTTCCTCCTTTGTATGCTTGTTTGTTTGTTCTGATTTGTTTCTGGTTCAATTTGAACATTTATAGTACAAGTTGAATAGATCTACTTATAGAATCAAATGAAGAAGGGTGAAGATTCAATGCAATTTAGAATGCTGATGCAAACCTGAATTGCTATAAGAGTAGCCAATAAGAAGGAATGCACCCTGAAAATCCAGAAAAAAAAAAATCTTACTTAGCAGGCAAAAAGCCAAGCTTTGGCACCAAGGAAAAAAAAAATGTAATCGTCAATTAAAAGAAGTAGAGAGAGAGAGTACCACGAGTATGAGACCAACTGATAGCAATGGAGATGACCGAGATTTTTGGTGCAGAGAACTAGAAACTGGCAACGAAGAGCTATCTGCAAATCTCCTTGCAATCGGGTTTACTTGCCTCCTCGACATGGCTCCCAATCTCTACAACAACAAACCAAACCTTCACACAAATGACACAAACCAAATTCAACAAAGAAACAAGCAAGAAACCAGATCGAACCAGATCACTTGATCATGAAATAGATCCGGCATTCCAAACCGAAATAACATCCATTTTCTCTCACTATCAAGCATAATCAAAGAGGCAAATGCTTGCATTTTGGTGGATCCAGAGCCAAATCAGCTAAAATTCTTCAAAAATCTCATAAATGTAACAGTTTTAGCTGATCAAGGTCATTGAAGCTCAAAAAAGAAACAGAAAAATTTGCAGAAACCATGGATGAATTCCAGAAACCCTACCTGATAAAGGAAAACAGATATACAGCATATACGAAGGAAGAGAAAATTCAGCTGCCTTCCATGAACCCCAAATGGAAATGGTTAGGGTTTCAGAGAGTAGTGGACCATTTCACTACGACTACGAGCTCATGGCTATGCTTCTCCCTTATGTTTTGCACGAGCCCAAATGCCAGATTTTCTTCTTGGGTGCGGTTTGTATAAGGTAACCTCCATACTGTAGAAGTATGGCGCACCTCTAAAATTCACTTGGAGATGTAGTTTCAATAGTGAAAACCTTATGATAGCTTAAATTTCTATTTTTTTCGATGGTTATGGAATTTTAAATTTATAAGAACAATTCAAACATATTTATATTGAAAATAGATAATTCGTATAACTTGTTACACTATGCATTATTTCTATGACTTGAATTTATTTTTTTCTTTTATATCAACACATCTCGAGGCTAACTTGATCAATTGGAAATCTAATGGAAGGTACATTCTTATTGTATACTATCCTTAAAAAGAAAAAATTTCATGTATATCTATACATCCTGTAGTTGAGGTGATGAAGTCATAAAAGGCACCCTAACCATGATACTCTTCTCTATAGGATTTTTTAGCTACAAAAGGTTGCAACTGTATACAAACCTTTTTTTAGAAAAATAAACATCTAGTTATCCTTGGTGGACCCCAAAATTTGAGTTCAACTCAAGTAACCCTTTGGAAGGGAGTCAATGTATAGTATGATCATGCGGGAACATGCTATATGGGGTGGTGGAAGAAGAAAGGATGAGGTTGATATAAGGTGCTGTATCGTACAAGTGAGGAACAATTTAGATTTTGCCAAAACCTTATTATGGGTTGAAAATCAATGTTCAATCTTAATTATGAAATTTAAATTTTTTAAAATAGTGTGTTTAATCTATCGACAGTTAAAAATTTTGAAAATAAACGATCAAAATAACTTGTTACAAGATACATTAGTTTCAATACTTGCAATTCTTGTTTTCTTCATATCTATGCATCTCGAGTTCAAAGTAATCAATTAGAAGGTGTTCTAACTTTAAGACATTATTTTCTACTGGATTTTTTAGATGCACCTTACTTCTAGAGTATAAAATCGTAAGTCTATATAAAAAATTTCCTTTTCTTAAATGAAATATTGAATTTTGAGTTTCTGCATAAAATCATAACTTTATATAAACTTTTTCCTTTTCTAAAAAGACGGATCTAATTTGAGTTTCTAGAGCTAACCGTAAAAAATTTGGACAGTCTGTGTTCAGTCTAATGATAATATTTTTTAGAACGCATACAATGTAACCTCGAAAAAAAAAAAAAATTTCTGAGGTTGATCTTTGCTAAGTAAGTTACATTCAAAAAAAAAAATTATTGGGTTTTTAGGGAATCAAATAGATAGTAGGCACATACTGTCCATTTACTCACCAGATAAGAACCCAATCTAACAGTAACTTTAGGATCCTAAAATTTCGAAGATGTAACATGAGCATCCTCAATAAATAAAGTTTTAAATTTCACTTCCTATGCACTTAAAAAAAATGGCAAAAAGTTTATATAAGGTTGCAACCGTAGCACTAAAGGTGCACCTAAAAAATCCATCATAAAATGTTGCTTGTATGTTGGAAAGCCCTCTAATTAATCATCTCAACATCGAGATGTATGAATACGTAAAGAAAATAAGATTTTGAGTCCATGAAATAGCATATCTTGCAACAAATTATCTAGACCGTTCATTTTCAAGAATTCCATGTATTTATAGATCTACTTGATTTGAACCGTTTTTACAATTTAAAATATTAGAGATGAAAATAGATTCTCAAGCCATACTGAACATAGATAGTAGGCACATACTGT